GCTGGTGGGATGGCTCCACATACGGGGAACAGGGATGTCTTTCGCCAACACGCTTTACCGCACTCCAGCGATATGCCCCCATTAATCGGCCCAACGAAAGTTCTTTGAATTTTGACCACGGCGCTCGCCAGCGGAACTCGATGGAAGCACAACCGACGCCGAGAACGCAGAGGGCCGGCGAAAGGCCGGCGGAAGTCAGAGGACGCCCCTTCCGAGCCCCCCTATACGCCCCTAGAAGCCTTCACGGCAACCTTCTTGCGTGGGCCGGGCGGATCCTGCCTGGCCCAATCCCTACAGTCGGGGCGCTGAAAAAGGAACCCTTTTCGTTGGGGAGGGGCTCCGTGTTCCTTAGTTGTTGCACAGTTTGCCTTAGGTTTTTTTCAGGTTTTCCATGGGAAATCGAAGTTCAATGTGTGGAGAAGAGGGCCATCGTTCCTTATCTAGGGTTCCTTAGGTCAACGCCCCGACTGTACTAATGAGTTTAGTTCAGCCGCATCAAGATCCCACCCGTGAAACATGGGCTAAACCAAGATCCCGTCCCGTTCCCAGATCCCGCCAGCCTGGGGTCGGCCCGACGTAAAACGGGGCTGAACATTTGCAGCCTCCTTGCCGTGTTGGAGTCGTCTTGAGCTCATCTTGAGATCATCTTGAGACCATCTTGAGACCATATCCGACTCATTGTTGGATCACGCGGTTGTCGTCGGGTCATTCTTGAGCCGCCTCGGTTGCGCTTGGATCCATCTTGCGGCCATCTCGGGGTCACTCGTTGCTCTAGGTCGGGCCATCTTAGAGTCAGCTTCAGACGATCCTGCAGCCATGTTGGGATCATGTTGGGGGAGCGTCATCCCAGGGTCGCCTGGAGGTCGTCGTTTGTTGTCTGAGCCTTTCTTGTAGCCATTTTGTGGTCATGGGGGCATCTTGGGATCGTCTTTGGGTGAGCTCTGAGCACGCGTGCAAAACGTGCCATCTTGCCGAGGGCGCACTCGCAGATACATCCCCTTGCAAACATTCAAGGATTTTTTTCTTGGGGCCAAGTCTGGCGAAGGAAACTTACGCCTCTGCGGCCGTGGGCGATCAGGGCATCCAGGATCACGAAGCCTGAGGGAGCGCAGATGTACCCTGACGGCTTCCCCAACTCATACCGCAGCACGGTGTCCTCTTAGCTGCACGAAGGCCTGAGCAGAGACACGCGGCCGCTCCATCGGGGCGCTTCGTTGCCATGCTGCGGCAACCTGAGCATCGCGTGCTCTCGGGTTACGGGTTGCTACAACACAGAGGTCCAGTCCATGAGATATCTGGCTGGAGAAAAGATCTGGCCATATCAATCCTCGACGCCTAGCGCGCGGGAGTTTGCAGAGGTTATGGCTGGCTGCATTGTGCGGCAGCTTACCGAGTGGAAGTGCCAACCCCAGAAGACGTGAGCTCGGCCATCAGCAGGTTGCGGCAAGATCTTGCGTTTGTCGGGATTACGGATCACTGGGACCTGTCCGTCTGCTTGTTCCGCGCAATGTTCGGAGGAGAGTGTAACAGCATCGACTTGATAAACATGCGGCCTTTCAACGGAACCGTCGCATATTTCGAGGACTACGATACCAGCGTGCTGGAGGGGTGGACGGACGATCGCGACGGCCAGGTCTACAAGGACGGCGTCAGACTTCTAATACTGGTCTCAGTCCGTACAGCGTTGACGAAACCACGTGCGCATCCTTGTGCGACCAGCTGTCCTGAATGTGGCGCGGCAGCGTCCTCTGTCTTTCCGCATGTGGCCGTGCTGCAGTGGCATCGTAGCACCAGCCGCATGTAGCAAAACTCGGTCAAAGTGTTTCAGGATACCATTCGCCGCGACCGACTGTAAAAAGCAGTGTGGGGCGGGGCAAGAGTATAAAGTGGCAGCCGAGCTCGGGATTCTCTTGCTGCTGCTCTTGGTCCATGATGAGGATGATGAGGGCTGGGAGCTGAGGACGTCGTCCAAGTCCCCGCGGACAAACTTGAGCATTGGCTTCAACTGCGTCTCCTCCGTGACCATCAAGCCCCCCCCCCCTGCCCGGCGGATTCTCCAGTGGGCGGGAGCAGACAGGGAAGCAACGACGTTTGACGGCATATAGCATTTGTTAGCGAGGAGGAGGGGGAGGGGAAGGAGGGTACGTCGGGAGGGCAAGATATAGGAGAGGAGATAGGGCAGTGGAGAGAGCAGGGTAAGGAGCGCAATGATGGCGAGCGAACAGGGGGGGGGGGGGGGGGGGCGAGCGTTGTCAGATCGCTGTGAGTGCACGTGAGAAGCTCGGCATGGCGAGGAATCAAAGACAGGGGAGGAGGAGGAGGACGAGGAGGAGGAGGAGCAAGAGGAGGAGGAGGAGCAAGAGGAGGAGGAGGAGGAGGAACCTGGGGGGGGGAGAGCGGAGCAGGAGTAGCGAGTGCCCAGGGGCGGGATCCATGAGGGGACAGGAGGAGGAGGAGGAGGAGGAGGAGGAGGAGGAGGAGGAGGAGGAGGAGGAGGAGGAGGAGGAGGAGAAGGACTGGACTGGACTGGACTGGACAGCGGAATTTGGCGGACCACGGGTTGGTGGAACCCCCTGGATCCTCCCTCCGTCCTCCGATTACAACCGCAACGAGAGGGCAGTGACGTCGGGGCTCCGAAGCCATAGAAATCAGTGCTTACACGGTGCTATCCGCGCCGAGGCGGTCTACGACCCCATGGACCAGAATTCTCAGCGTGGGAGGTTTGGTATCACTGCTTGGCTTGTGCTTCCACCACGGCACGTGGAAACATCAGTTTTGGTCAACAGGGGCAAGGTCCCGAGGGCGAAACTCAGAATGCTCGCCTATTTTGAACTGGTCATGGCGCCAGAGGTCGGGGTGCTAGTTCACGGGGAGCTTCACGGCGCAAACTTGAGTATGTTTGGCATGCATAAATTTCCACCTCTTCCTCCCCTTTCTTCTTATCATCTCCTTTTTCTTCTCCTTCTTCGCCTCCTCCTCCTCCTCCTCCTCCTCCTTCTCGCTGTCACCGTCAAGTGCTCTTTTTGGTCTTCATCCTTTGTATAATAAGCTTGGAGTAACCGTGGACGTGGACACGCTTTGCCGTTTGTCGAGCGCGAGCATTGCAGGTCGTCCAGATTGCTTACAGTGTCTGGAGCTTCTCCTCGGAGTCGCCGCCTGCGCGAGGCACATGTGGCTGAAGGGGGGTCGCCCTCAAAACCGACATCACCGTCAAGTGCTCACGTTTTGTTGAGATCTCCCTGCACGCAGTCCCACCGGGACCACTCCCCAGAGGTGGGACCGGCGGCCAGGCAAGTGCTGGGCAGGCCGTCCTCCTCCTCCTCCGCCTCCTCCTCCGCCTCGTCCTCGTCGTCCTCCTCCTCCTTCTATCACGCCTCCTTCTCCTCGTCCTCCTCGTCGTCGTCCTCCTCCTCTTTCTCCTCCTCCTCCTCCTCCTCCTCCTCCTCCTCCTCCTCCCTCTCCTCCTCCTCCTCCTCCTCCCTCCTCCTTCTCCTCCTCCTCCTCCTCCTCCTCTCCTCTCCTCCTCTCCTCCTCCTCCTCCTCCTCCTCCTCCTCCTCCTCCTTCCTCTCCTCCTCCTCCTTCTCCTCCTCCTCCTTCTTCTTCTTCTTCTCTTCCTCCTCCTCCTCCTCCTCCTCCTCCTCCTCCTCCTCCTTCCCCTCCTCCTCCTCCTCCTTCTCCTCCTCCTCCTCCTCCTCCTCCTCCTCCTCCTCCTCCTCCTCCTCCTCCTCCTCCTCCTCCTCCTCCTCCTCCCCCTCCTCCTCCTCCCTCTCCGCTTTCACCGTCAAGTGCTCACTCTGCCAGGACCCCTCCCGGGAGGTGGGACGGACGGCCAGGCAAGCGCCTGGCAGGCCGCGAGACCAGAGGTCTTCCATGCGGCTCCCGCGCGCACCGCCCTCCGCCACGTTCACCACCCACCAAGCCACCCCAACCTAACCTGACGGCCACAATTTGCCCTCCATTCCCAGTGGGGGTGCGTCGGAGAGCATTAAAAAAACACAGTGATCGTGTTCTTATTCATTGTTTTTCCGATCGGCGTGGGCCCTCGCCCCCCCCCCCATGGAGTAGAACTTGGCTGATAGCGGCGCCTGTTTCAAACAGGTGGACTAAGCACGGGGGCCCCGCTTCCCCACTGGATTCCCCATGGGCGCACTGTTCCAAACAGTCGCGCTAAGCAGAGGTCCGGAGCCAGACCCCCCCCTCCCCCCCTTCCGCTCGATGTCGAGTCGCCGAACAAGAGAACGTTCACAACCTGTACAGTCGAGGCGGATTGGTAGGTCGACTCTTGCGTCCTGTGTTTGGCGACCCATGCCTTCTACATTCCTATGGCAATGTGGCCCTCGGAAGCGTCTTGTGCCCTCTCGCGTGCCCTCCCCAATCAACCTCGACTGTACCCACCCCAGCCCGAAACGGGGGTATTCGGGCTGGGTTGGGCTGGTCTTGTAGGTAGTCAGCCACGGGCTGCGCGCGCGGGTGCCCGCCCCGCCTGCGCGCGCGCAACAGGCAGGTGAACTCGAAGCTGCGGGGCAACAGCCAGGCAGCCCGCCCCAGGTCGGAGGAGGAAAAGGCACTGGGTTTCTTAATCAGGGGGGTACCCCCTCGACGGGGGTCAACCTCGCCTCGTCGTCGCGCCGCGACGGGGGTCGGAGCGCCTTCGGCGCCCAGTGGCTGCCCGCGACGGGGGTCGATGTGGGAGTGTCGGCGGGGGTGACGCCCCCCCGACGCTTATTAAGAAACTCGGGGTACCGATACCGTTGTCCTTCCCCCTGGCATCGCTCGGACGTGTGCATTTTTTCTCGGCGAGGATCCTCGAGGATCATCTTGGATCATCGAGCAACAAAAAAACACGCGCGCGAAAAACCGACACGTGCACGGGGAGTGGACGTCCGAGCGGCGGCAAGTCCCTCGCTTTCCCCTGTTTTGGGGCCTCTCGGGAGGCCCTCGCCGCCACCGCCGGACTCTCCTCGAGCAGGAGAGGTCCGGGGAGGAGCAGGAGAGACGATCCAAGAGCAATTGTAGGGGATCAAAAATGACATAAACAAGCCAAATCAGAAGTCCGCGCGAATTCCTCGCATCGGCGCTGTGGCCCAGCGCGCGGCCAGATGCGGCCAGATGCGTGTGACCAGGTCTGGGGAGGAGCGGTATCGTTACCTTTGTTCCCAACCATCCTGTGGTGTTGGGTCCTCGTTTTGAAGAGACGGTGCCCCGCGTCCTTCTCCTCCTCCTCTCCTCCTCTCCCTCCTCGCCCTCCTCCCTCCTCCCCCCTCTCCTCCCGCCTCCCTGCGTTTCACCCACCCATGACAACGCTTCGTGGCTCCGTAGGGAGCTCCACCGAAGGCCCCAGCGGCAGGGTCCGCATGCAGTTCCACCTCCATTTCGGCGCACCCCTCACACGTTTCGTGGTCCCATAGGGTGCTCCACCGAAGGCCCCAGTGGCAGGGTCCGCATGCAGTTCCACCTCCATTTCGGCGCACCCCTCACACGTTTCGTGGCCCCATAGGGTGCTCCGCCCAAGGCCCCAGTGGCAGGGTCCGCATGCAGTTCCACTCCCATGTCGGCGCACCTTCACACGTTTCGTGGCCCCATGGTGTGTTCCGCCGATGACCCCAGTGGCAGGGCCCGCATGCAGTTCCACCCCCATTTCGGCGCACCCCTCACAC